CGAAAAGATGATCCCTACTGGGAAATGTCAATAAAATGTTTATGGTCGGTCATATTTTTGACAGGTCGGTCAGAAACTTGAAACCAACTATTATTTTTATTTGGCCTGAGTACTTTTTATAATATTCAGACAATAGGTAAATTTGTATCATAATTAAATTTGTATCAAAATCTGTAATTTAATAAATATTCATTCCATCTTGTTTCATTTCTTGTTTTCTTTAGTAGCCTGCAATTAAGAAAAAATCTTCTTAGAAAATCTGACATTTTTGAAAACTTATTACATGTATATACACAAGGCTGTCGGAGGTGAATCAATATTGGGATGGGGTCTCAAGAATAAATTTGAATTGCTTTTGCACTTTTCTAGTTCTTTTGTGTGTGTTTGCTCCATAGACGGATTTTGTGGGGGGGTGAGGGGGGTGCTACCCCCCTAATATTAGCTATAACCCCCCCCAAACAAAATGTCCACCCCTCCAAAAAAATTTTCAACCCCCCCAATATTCGGCATAATAAAAAATAATTAAATAGTCCACTCCAACGTGCAGAGTGTTGATGATACAAAATAAACGTAGGAGTACACTCAAATAGAAAAAGACGCAATACTCTGAAACTAATTGCTCCTCGCTTGCATTCACTGGTTTATTGGACCAATTGTAAAGTTTTGAAACTCTATTATCTCCCCTGAATTGAGTTTGCAGTGCCTTGTCATGCAAATAGCTTGCTTGCAAAGAACGTTTGGAAATTTTACGAACATTATTTTTAGTTTTAATTCTTTTAGGAAATAGTCTTGCCTAGATTTAATCTTTACGTCCCAAATATTATTTACATCGGAGTTGCATCATAAATTGTGCTCGGATTCAAACGACACAATGTCAATGATTTTATAAAAGTAAAAGCATATTGTGTATTGGCCTATTGAGTTTACACTTTTACAGCTTCATTTAACTTTAACTCTCTCAAGTCTCAACAGACAATTGGACAGGCCAAATCCATTGATGTGACAACTTCAAAAAACGTTTTTTCGAAGCTAGAAATCATGATTTTTTTCAAATTTTTCCAGGGATACTTTGTTTTCAGCTCTCTAGACTCCCACTCGCTGCTCTAGTCCTCCACCCCTAGAATATAGACCCCCCCCAGGAAAAGTCCCTTTTCCTTAAAATTATACAAACAAACCAGCGAAGATTAACAAATACATAAACGGAAAGTAAGTTTTAGGCTTCATCCCTTGTCCTTGTTTAACAAAATCGATTTAAATTGTTACTTTTTTCTAAATTATTGTTAATAATTTTTTTTATTTTTTGGATGCTCAGAATGCAGGAAATAGCATTTCCGGGTTTCAAATTTCAAACATTTTCTGGGGATTATCCCTCTAATAAGCCGATAAATTACAGTTAATATTCTTTTTTACTTTTTGCGCATTTTTTCCATCTTTTACTTCAAATACAAGTATAGTTAGCATAAATTTTAGAGCAAATTTGGATGCTCAGAATGCAGGAAATGGCATTTCCATGCTTCAAATTTCAAAAATTTTCTGGGGGAATACACCCCCACACACCTGACCATTGTTATCCTCCTCTAATAAGTAATGATAAATTATGGTTATTTTTTTTTACTTTTTGTGCGTTTTTTTCTTTATTTATTTCAAATACAAGTATAGTTAGCATAAATTTTGGACCAAATTTGGATGCTCAGAATGCAGGAAATCACATTTCCGGGATTCAAATTTCAAACATTTTCTGGGAGAGTACCCCAGACCCCCCCCCCATTCATGCGTGGTATATTGGCCACACACGTGGCCTTCAGCCATTGCTATCCCCCTCTAATATATTATCTCACGGAAAGGTCCCTTTTCAAAAAATGCCCCCCCCCACGGGAAAATCCTTAAAAAAGGCCCTGGTGTTGCTTCAGTCACCTGCTCGCGGCTCACCCCCCTAAAATTTCTGGCACCACCCCCAGTAAAAAATATGAAAATCCGTCTATGATGCATTTTGTTTTGGCTTCTAAACTTTCGCGAGCGTTGATTAGTCGAGAAGCGTGTTTCAGTTCTGCAACCGTATGGAAACACAGGAAATTTCCCGTCTGGCGGCTGATTCTAAACCGTGAACAAATGAATTTTAAAACGCGCTGTAATCGAAAAATATGTGACAATAGCTAGTGAGGAACCACAAAACAAAAATAATGGTAGTTTCGCGTCTGAGCACCAAAAAGGTACCGGTCACGAAACAGCGCAACGGATATCTGTAGAGGTTATTGAACGGAGCCGGAGGGCGAGATACTGCAGTGGTATTTTGTGTGAAATTGTAAATACGCAGGAAATGTTTGGTTTAGCTGTTCTGTATTTTTTTGTTTTTAATTATTCACAGTACTCGTTTGTACCCTTTTCAACCGGTCGAAAAAATAATCAATAGAATAAATCATTATTGGATTCAGCTTATACAGGATATCCAGAATTAGCATATACTCGGGAGTTGCATAATGTTTTTAAGCCATTTGATTGGTTGCTCGGCTCTGGATATCCTCCCGCACAAAAACAAAATGACTTTCCGTTTCGTTTCGTTTCCGGTTAAGCCTGGTTCACACTAGCAATTCTGTCGGCGATTTTTCTCCTCCTGGCAAATGTGATCGAATGAATGACATGCAAAAGAATCGTTTACTTCTGAAAAGCGACTCTATACTTTTGTATGCGAGTTCACTCATTTGCATCCGTCAGAAACACAAAATCGCCAACAAAATTGCTAGTGTGAACCAGGCTTTACAGACAAGCGAATTTTTGCACCACACGCACCTGCAACCTCACTGAACACGTTGTTTAAAAGTGTGTAGGGGTGTCTTGATAGCTATTTCTAATGAATAAAATTACTTAAAAGCGTGTAAATACTGTTTTGTTTACAACTATTACGGCCTACGGGAGCCGAAATTCAAATTGTTTAAAAATATATTCGTTGTTTTTTGGTAGTTTTTCTTTGTGCTACTATCGGAATATCGGCATAGATTTTAATAGGATTTTGTGATGTGACGTGAAAACGATCTATATTTAATCTCTCGCGCACTTTTCATGAGATGAAAGGATAGACGATGAGGGTAGCGAAGAACAAGAGATCAAGATGTTTTGCTAGATAATTATTATTAATTTGAACCAAAACAATGCTGTCAAACTACTTTTCGCCTTCTTTCAAATCAGCTTTCAGCTGTTTCTTTCCTCCTCTGATACGTCCAGTACGACGAGCAGCAATCAGACCCACTTTGCGACCTGCGGAGGCATCTCTTCTCATCGTGGAAGGCTTACCAATATGTTGATGGTTACCACCACCGTGTGGATGTTCTACAGGCTATAATCAAATAACATGTTAGTGGGTGAGACGGGTCAAGGGTGGGGGCAGGGACAACCCCTCTCCCAATAATTTAAGAAAGCCTTTGAATGATAACTGAAAAACTGTGTAACGAAGATGTAACAATTTGTCAACCACGAAAGCCTCGGTCGGCTAGAGATTCAGCTATACATTGCATGAAATTTAAAGCAAAACGTTTAAAGAACTACGATTTTCAGGAACAGGAGGTGGCTATATGTTGGCAACTTAAAGTTGCTTCTCAAACCCAAATTTGTCCGGCAGTAAGTTTCGTAGAAACTGCAGGTATGTTGTGGAAGATCTTTAGATCTTCGCGAGTATGGGGACTGAATCCGAACCGTGAAATTACCGCACGAAATTTGTAGGGCTCATTAGATTGAAGATATTGACACCGAGAACCTCAAAATTATTCAAAACCTGAGCTTACTGTACTCCAAATCTCAACGAGGATGAGAGTTATGGGTTGCTTACATAGATAGTTCTATTGTTGCAATAAAGCTATACAGCAAAGAATTTAAGCAATACTTCTAGTACACAACACTCAGGAAAATTTAACTATATTCGTAATTCTTTACATGTCATCACATTCGTCAACGGGTTAAGTAATACGTATTTAAAACATGGACGAGAAAGTGAGTAGGGTATATACACTTACGTTCATAGCAACACCACGGACACGAGGCCAGCAGTTACGTTTCACTTTGTACTTATGATAGGCACGACCAGCTTTCAACATTGGCTTTTCAATACGACCGCCACCAGCAACAATACCAACCAAGGCCCTGTTAGCCGATGGTACAACTCTCTTGATACCAGATGGCAACTTTATACGGGTCTTCTTTGTGTCAACATTATGTGAAATGACAGTAGCATAGTTGCCAGATGCTCGCGCCATCGCTCCGCCATCTCCAGTTTTTTCTTCAACATTACAAATGATGGTTCCCTCGGGCATTTGACCAACTGGTAAACAGTTACCAACCTGCAAGGTCGCTGAAAAAAAGAGAGCTCAATTTCAACTTATCGTGCAGACTACGTTGACACTAGAGCAGAAGTATCCAGATTCCTTGTTTTTCGAGTGTACGGATTCGTGAGGCGTTTACACTATACAGCCTGACAAAGCGATTGTCAATGTATTAAGCAAAATTTTACACCTGTTATACTGTTTTTAAGCGATGTTTTGACCCTGTTTGGCGGGTGAATTTAATAGCAATACATTTGAAAAACATATTAAAGCGGGAGCAAATTGATTCAGATTCTTCACAGAAAACGTTTACACGAAACTTTTTTTCCGGATACGAAGTTCCCACATTCCACAAACTTTTTCCGGATTCGAAAGTTCGTTTGTATCGGATTCATGCTCATTGGTGTTAACGGCAAAACGAAATTAACGAATCCGATATAAAAACATACTTCAGATTCGTAACGAATTCGAAAGGGGTAACAATGAACAAACATTTGTCTCAAACCTTGATCCTGAAATATCCATATATTTCTAACAATCAAACATGGAACATTGATCGAGAAAAATTGAGTCCACTGCTTGACGAGTTCACCGGGTCCCCATCTTTATTTACATACTTTAAATCCAGCTTCAAACGCATTTTGATAAGCCTTAGGGAATTATTCGGATTTTGTTTTTTTTAGCCTTGGACGTTTAAAAATAATGGCTAACGCATCCAAAATGCTTTAGCACTGGTAGATTTTTGGCAAAAGATTGAAGGTGGAGCATTTAGGTGGTTAACATTATATCTATGAATTATTTACCTACCTATGCTCCAGGCTATACATCACGTCATTACGACGAAAACAATTTCTATTTTATTACCATACACAAGCAGGACTACTTCAGGAATTCATTTTTTGTAAGGTCAGCAAATCTGTGCAACAGCCTCTCATTGCAACTTAAGAGTTATACATCAATATATGTATTTAGTTCCAGACTCCGTAAAATGTATAAAGAACGATTGCTATCTTACAGCCCTCCTGGCTGTTCTTAACTTTAAAATAACCTATGGTTCTCTATTCATGTAATGTGTTTGGTCGATGTAATGATGTATAGTCATTCATTAGGAGTTAGGTGTCAATTGGGATGCAAGTCCTGTTCCTCTTTCCAGTCACACCAATGTTGTATTTTTGCTGTTTGCATGTTCTGTACTAGTGTCAGTAACCAATCTTGTTTACAAGTATGTATGAAATGAATTGCGACAAATCATATTAAAATTAAATTAATTAAATTCAGACCATGTGGTTGCAGTACATTTCATTCCTTAATCCTTAAACATTTGCCTTAAGTTCAATATGAGGCAGTCAACTCCTACTCTCCCCAATTATGTCCGACCACCGAGTTTTCTAAAAGGTACTGTATGACACCTACTGTATATATCATCACTGGAAGTTATAACCAAACCAATTGGATATTGTTTTAACAGCAGGTTTACCTTTCTTTCCACAGTACACAAACTGTCCTGTGTACATTCCCTCTGTGGCAACAAAAAGTTCCTTCCTCAGTTGATATCGATATGGATCACGAAAAACAACGACAGCCAAGGGAGCTCCTCGACCTGGATCATGAATGATATCCTTGATAACACCTTTTATATATCCATGCCTTTCGGCATAATCTAGCACACGTAGCTTGGCAGCACCCTTTCTGTGTTTTGTGTGGGATCGGAAAACACTGCCAGCACCTTTACGCTGACCTCTGATTACACGACCCATTTTCTAGAAGACAGAAATATATTTGCTTCACCTCTGCATCACATTTGTAAATTAATCACAAAGAACTCTGCTTTCTATTGCATATAAATAATGTGAAATTATGAATACAAACATGCTTCAATGCAAATACCCCCACTCTGTTATTTTGGGCATTAAGTGGCCTGGACAGGTATTTTTGCCATTTTCTGGGAATTATGATGGAGTTATAACTTTTTTGAAATTGCACAGATATTCTACAAGCAAGCCCGCTTGTGATAGATAATGTTGGTTTATAAGTGAGGAACAAGAAGGTCTGCTGTCAGACTTCCCAGGGTGCATTCCATGTCGGCAATCTCCAACTTGAGGTTAAAAAATTTGTTGGCACATTGGTGTGAGATTGCTTTACACTTTTACAGTCTTTGAAAACGGTTTTAGTCCCCAAAACTATTTTTTGAAGTACCGTAAACCTCAGACTATAAGCCCTGGGCTTATATTCTTTCGTAAGTGGTTTTTGATGGGCTTTTACAAAGGAGCGCTTATACATGGATGATCTTTTGTGTTAGTAATAAACAAGTCAGTCATAAACAGGAAAATAAACATGTATTATTTAATAACACGCTAAATAATTAACATAGTAAGCTATATTTTTAAATATTGTTCTCTGCTACATTAACTAAAAGACAATGTTAATGTTGACTAACTGGCTACTGGGCTTATATTCGGGGAAGTGACATTCGGGGGGGGGGGCCTTATATTTGGGGGTCTTATGTTTGGAATGAGGTGAGCATTAGTACATGTGGTGGGCTTATGCATGGGAGGGGCTTATATTCAGGGGGGCTTCAGGCCTGGCCGTTTGAGGCGCGCGATCGCGCGCCTCCGCACGCGCCTTGACTCCTTGAGACGCGCCTTTTAACGTGCGCCTTGTTTGTTTTAAGAGTATGAAATCGTGCGTCTGTTTTTTTTATTTAATGCTGATCAAAGGAAATGATAACTGCCGGTCGACGAAGGAGCGTAAGGAGATTCTTCAACGTGCATTAGAATTTTACATGGAGAAAAGACGCAAAGTCAAACTCGATAACAACACCGTGGATGAAGAAACTCTGTTAAAAAAGCGTATAATTGAGAAAGACGCCATAACCATTGACAATAACGATGATTCGTCAAGCTCGTCAGAAATCGAGTCGTAGGACAGCGATGTTGACATTTTCATTGATGTTTAAAGTATGATGACTTTGAAAACATCGTAAATACACATACTCACTGGTACAAACATTTTATATAGTACCTATACTATTTTCGGCTAAACTCCAATTTTAAAATTGTTTTGTTCTACATAAATTTTTACTCAGTTTTGTGAATGTTATTCTAGTCTGTATAAGCGTAATTTTTACCGTTTTTTAAATCACGCGCCTGACGTTAAATGGTGCGCGATATGCCGCGCACCTGCCCAAATACTTATGGCCAGGCCTGGAGGGCTTATATTCAGAGGTTTACGGTATTGGCATGATCAAGGGTAAATGTTGGCATATCTCCGGCATAGAGTTTACATGGAATGCACCCTGACAGAAACTCTGAAAAATCGGGGTTCCGGCCGGAACCGAGTTCTGGTGCACCCCTAATATTCAAGTCCATTCATATCGGACTGCATAAATTTGGAACCATATGCTCAAATTTGTACCGCTCGCACCAACGTATCGACACAGGACCTTAAAGGGTTAACATGCAAGTTATCAAAATACTCAGTGGTTCCCGTAATTTCAAGTCAAATATCATCTATAGGTTTGATATATATATTTATACTTTATATCATGTGTTTGAACCTTGTTTTATAGGCAAGAACAACATCTTTATCACATAGGACGTAAATTATTGGACAAATAAGGATATTAAAATCTAAGAAAGGTGTATTAAAATACAAAAAAAACGGATTTTGCAGGCAGAATTTCTACACAGTATTTTTTCAGATAAATACTAACAGTTCAACACTACACTATTCAACATTCTAAGTCGATTATTTAGGAATATAGGCAAAATATACTTCAAATACAAGGAGCACACAAAACTTTACATATTAGATTTCTATTGCCCAGTGTTGAATAACGTTATTTGCAGTAAAATTCTACCGATGGATAAGGATTGAAATTTTCTCGACTCCTTACCTTTGAAGTTAGAATTTGGAAAAGAACGAGCGGACAGAAGACTGGGCACTAATAGGAAACTGTGACGTCACATGTTGTAGCCGCCATATTGCTTTTAGAAATAGAACCATACTAGAAGAATAGTATTTGCCACGAATTATATTTAAAAACGCGGCAAGACTTGAAAATGGTTTTGTTTTTAGTGCTTGAAATTGTTCGTGGTCGTCTGTAGTTCTGTAAAGCTGTCTTTTCTAGAAAGCTCGGGATCATGGCTATAAGCAGTGACGAAGTGAATTTCTTGGTGTACAGGTATCTGCAGGAGTCAGGTATGATTGTATAGTTTTATTATAAAACTAATATTAGATATTAAAGAGGTTTTTTTGATTGATTGTAACCTGTGGTGATGTTATATGCAAATACATGTACCTGCTGATTTGCACCAGCATGCCTTGATGTGCTGTATATCTCAAAATTATATGGTAGAACTACTGTAGAATAGAGTGTTTGCACTCATTCCCCAGGGACCAACTCAACAAAACCTATGGCGGCCATGTTGGTGTTCCAGATAAAAGAGTCTGAGTGAAATTCTTTTGAATTGGAACACCAACATGGTAGCTGTGACGTCATGTGCAAACGCTCTATACAGTATAAATACACTAGTATAGACTGTATAGCTGAGTAGCTGACTGGAAAGTTTGGAAAATATAGTTCAGTTAAAGTTTAGAAAATATAGTTTCAGTATAGACTGTATAGCTGACAGGAAAGTTTGGAAATTGTGCGGGGGAGATTTCGAAAATTTAATAGTAATTGCCGTAGAGGTAGAACAATTAATGCCATGGATCATTGCGGCAACAACGGCAATTTTTTGCCGTATAGTATAATTTTTGTACTATTCACTGCACGCATTACTATTGTGACACTTTGAAAAGAAAACACTAAAGAAATACGTAAACATGTTCCTAGCTTGTCCACAATCCAAATAACAATAAAATTGAATTTTTATTGCAGTAATTTGAAAAAATGCCTTGGAAACTGCCAAAATTGCTGTAGACAGCTGAACTACGTTCTACTGCAATTTTTAACGCTGTTGCCGTTGATTGATTTCAGGGAAATTCTAGGCCTGTATAGAATTAAGCATCAAAATTGCATGGGGGGATATCTCCCCAGCAATACAAACTTTCCACACTGGCTGCATGGTAGTACTGAGTACTCTTGGGTGCTTGTGTTTATTTGTACATGCAGCAGTTATTATACAGCAATAGAAAATGAATGGCTCTTTGTATTATAGGTATGGGCATGAGTGCAAATGGCAAGTGCAATTTGACATCTTTGCAAAACTAACTAGTGTATGTTTTACCAAATTGGATGAGAAACCATACTATTGGCCATTCCGAAGTTGATGAGAGGACTGGGGACAAATGTTAAAAAGTGCCCAAATTAAGAAATGAACCAAATCACTAAAAAGACCACCTCAAAATTAGTAAGTATACAAAGTTTGAAGACATTTACATGAATACCCTTCGAATAATAAGCTTTCGAAAATCACAATATTTACTTAAGGCCAAAAAAAAAATATGTGGGTTTCCGGTTTCTTCTTATAAAAACGTAGGTAGAGTAGGTCGGTTATAACCAGGGACGCCAGAACTGGGGGGCAGGGGGGGGCGGCTGCCCCCCTTGCCTTTTGCTAGGGGGGGCAGAAGTGCCCTTTTAGTTGTAAAATAATACGTGATAAATCACATTTCCAACGATGCTTTTTGTAGGAAAATCACGAGATTCAGGTAATTTATAGTTTATATTTATAAAAATTTTGGGAAATTTTTGGAATTTAGAAAAATATTTTGAAGAAATGGCGAAAATTTAAGATATCTGGAAAAAATTTTGGCTTCACGGAAAATTTTTGTATGTCCGGAAAAATTTTTTGAGTAAATTGAAAAAATTTTTCAGTAAAGGTGCCCTTGGTGTGCGTCCGCCCCCCTTTGCCCTATTATCGTTCCGGCGTCCCTGGTTATAACTTCTTTTTTTTAAACTTTTTTTTTAATTTTCCGAACAAGCGGACGCCATTTTGTTTAGTCAGTGCTTCCACATCCAAAGATAAATTTCCCTAATATTGCCTCAAATTTCAATTTTCCACAAACTTTTTCCTCTAAGTGGAAACACTTACAAGCACGATCCAATAAAAAAGTTTAGGGTCGGGATTTCGACGTCCAAAAGCTAGGTAGGGTCGGGAAACCGGAAACCCACATATTTTTTTTTTTGGCCCTATGAAATGTACTGTAATTTTTGTTTTTGGGGACGTGTGTCCCCAAAACAATCTTTTAATCAGTAATTTCACAATTTTCGAAAGCTTATTATTCGATGGGTATTCATGTGAACGTCTTGAAACTTTGTATACTTACTAGTTTTGAGATGGTCTTTTTAGTGATTTGGTTCATTTCTTAATTTGGGCCAATCTCGTACCCAGAGCAATGCCTGTGCACGGGCTAGGATGGCATTGGCTCTGGGGAAATTGAATTTTTCCTGTGCTGTGATTGGTTTAACGTTTATCAATCGTGCATGCCGATGAAGAACCGGAACTCCTAAATTTAGGGGTTCCGGTTGTCAATTTCCCCAGAGCCAATGCCATCCTAGCCTGCGCACAGGCATTGCTCTGGGTACGAGATTGAATTTGGGCACTTTTTAACACTCGTCCCCAGTCCACTCATCAACTTCGGAATGGCTAATTGGGTTTCCAGAAAACATCCATATCTCTCCAATGGAGGAAATTGGAAGTTAACCCCCTACCCCCTTTTGAATGTCACAATATTACACTGTCTTGCTATTACCTCTCCCCTCCGGACAGCAGAAATACTCTACATGGGGGCAGATCTTTTCTGGAATTGCCCATTATTAAATTGCATATACATGAAATAATTACCAACTTTGATAATTGATAACACCTACATACTCACCAGCACTTTTTAAGCATTGTTTTCATTGTAGCAAACTTGTTGCAGTACAGTAATTAAATTGTTAAATTTGTGTACGATTTTCAGTTAAAAGTGTACATTTGCTGGTTAACATGTGCCGCCATGTTTATTTTTCCTGCTTGTTTCAGGCTCTGTCTGCTGCTTTTGTTTTGTATAGGTAATAGTGTGGTTTCGAGTGCAATTTGGAAAAACATGCATGAATGAGTTTTTCAAAGATGATTAAAATTGCATGAGTCTGAAGGACAAGTGCACTTTGAAGTCTTTGAAAAACTCATGAGTGTATGTTTTTCCAAATTGCATGAGAAACCATACTATTACTTGTTAATAATATACATGTCATATAGTTCACACACTTTGATAACACCTGTGCACTCACCTACGCCATTTAAGCATTGCTTTCATTTCTTGTTAGCAAAAGCTTTTCAGTAGTATGTGCTTCTTGTACTTAAATTGTTATATTCACGTACAATTTTCTAGGGGTGCACCGGATTTCAATTTAACAAATTTTCCGGCATCCGGCCAGATTTGGAGAAAATCTGGCCGGATTTAAATTTCCGTTTCACCTTAAAAAATTCACCAAGAATGGGATAAACCATCAATTTGGCAGCTTTAAAGTTTAAAAAACACTTATATTATTATAAAATATTAAGTTATTAACAAAAAGATATTAAAAAAGGTTTAAACACAATCAAAAATCTAAACTGACACTAACTAAAACTAGTAAAAAACATAAACCGCCATTTTGAATACTGATTTATCCCCAATTGTCTCCATTACCGGTTTATCTCAAATCCGGCCGGAATTTTTGTCCGGCCGGAATTGTTGAAAATTCCAAATCCGGTGCACCCTTAGGCCCGGTTTAGACGGCGAACTTCTCATGCGCCGAATCTAATGCAAGAATTAAGTGCGACGCTGGAGCGGCGTCTAAATCAATTAAGTTCGACAGGTTTTGATTAAGTTCGACATGACTCGAAGATGCGACAAGACAAGTCGTATATGCGACACAGGTTCGACATTGATTTAGACGCCGTGCTTTTCATGCGCCGAACCTAATGCATAATTATTTTTTAACATCATAATATGATTATCATATATTTGCATTGTAAATATTTCCAATATAATGTCTTCGCAATTTGGTACGGTGCAATTAAGTTCGACGTCTAAATCAGTTTCCGATATTTTGCCGTATCTACGACAATTAGGTTCGGCGCATGAGAAGTTCGCCGTCTAAACCGGGCCTTACAATTTTCCATTTGAAAGTGTGCAAACATTTGTCAAAAAGTGCAATTTACATTGCTACTGTCTGCCGCCAAGTTGATTTTTCATGCCTTGTTTCCAGGCTCTGCTCTTGTTTTGTTAATTGCACTGCAGTAGTGGACCTTTAACCTTATAACTAAAATTTTGATCTAGACAAAAATTTCATCACAGCTTGAAAGAGCATCACAAAATTAGTAATATTCCAAAGTTTCGTTACGAAATGTTGTAAAATGCGGATAATATAGCCCTGCGAAGTTTGCAATTTTCAGTCATTTTAGATTACAAACGGGAAATTGATACCCAAATCGGGTGTTTGGGTATCAATTTCCCGTTTGTAATCTAAAATGACTGAAAATTACAAACTTCGCAAGGCTATATCCGCATTTTACAAAATTTCGCAACGAAACTTCGCGTGAATATTACTAATTTTGTGATGCTCTTTCAAGCTGTGATGAAATTTTTGTCTAGACTTGTCTAGATCAAAATTTTAGTTATAAGGTACGTTAAAGGTCCATTGCACTGCAATTAATGTGCAATTTCAAAAATAGTTGCGCTGCTCATAGCCAATCAGAGTAATTTTTTCATTTTTATTTTCAGTGTACAGTTGGTAATAGCCAGATGGTTTAGTGTTCAATTTTAATGCACAAGTGCATTTTTCAAAGAGCATCAAAATGCTGTTTGAGGTCTTTGAAAAACTCACTACTTGCTTGTTCTATCCAAATTTCATGAGAAACAATCCTATTTATTGGAATGAAAAAAGTGTACTAGTTTTGTTGCATGTGTGAGTTTATTAACATACCTGCTAACTTTCAAATTTCAGGGTTTCCTCATTCAGCTTTCAGCTTTGGAGTTGAAAGTAATTCAGTTCATTCAAGTATTGATGGTGTATCAATTCCCTCTGGTGCTTTGATATCAGTTTTACAGAAGGGAGTGCAATTTGTTGAGGCAGAAGCATGCTTTGGAGAGGTAATTAACATTATGGATAACCCTAATGGACATTGATTTTTGCTGTATGCTACACGTAAACTAAACACCCATCTGACCATTTGATTGAATTGAAGCCAGAGTTCTGACCATTTGATTGCATAAGAGTAGGTCGACATTACGGTGGAGGTTTGCAACAGGCTCTCCTCTTCATGAGTAAAATTGCCTGGTGTTATGCTATGGACAGGGTAACATACTGTATACCTCTGTAATAAAGTAGGGCGCAATACAACTTAATGGGTTAAATGCATATGTAGTAATATTCTTGTCAAGCTTTCCCCTTGTATAACCTTGACTTTGAGCCTGTTACAGTGCAGCACGGCTGGAGAAAATATTTTTGTTCCTGGGAGCACAACCTGGAGATGAAATTTCCTCCAGACCAACTAAATATTTTTGGGTTAAATCTGCATGTGCCTGCTGTACATGCACATACTGTACATACAGGGTGAATAAAGAAAAGTGCACACTCAGTTCTTTCCATGGGTAATTTGGGGTCTGCTAGTATCTTAATTACCACTATAAAATTATTTTGAAAAGTATGTACACACGGCGGGCAATTGACAGAAAATTTGCCATATGAAAACTCGTCATAGAAAACTTACTTGTCTGTATAGAAGTCTACGAAATTTAGTAATTCACAATCATAATTATACCATGTAGGATGGAACCTCCTTTGGAGACGGTGAACTGTCTTTAGTAGAAGCTGTAAATCCATCTACAGTTTCTGATTTACATACAAAAGCACTGAGACAATTAGAAGATAAAGCTAAAGAACAAATAAGTTTTATTGATGTGACAAGTGGTCCTGATTTCCCAGCCGCTAAAGTGACTACTTTGGAAGGACATCAGTCAGAGGTTAGTTCTAAACTTAACAGACTCAAATTGAATCAAATGTAGTATATGAAGGAAGGAAAATTAATGTGAAATTATAACACAGCATAGACAGAAAATAGAAATTGTATTTAGAACACAATTTTATTAATTAGAAAATATGATTGTACGACGAGCTTCAATGATCGATGAGCTTCAATGATCTAGGACTTAGCTACCTGAAAAATTTTTAAAATCTAGGATTTAGATACTTGCAACCTCAAATGCATCAAACTCCTGAACATTGTTAATCGCTACCTACAACAAACCAATAAATCAATAATGCAGAATTATGTGAGCGTCCCATTATATATACTGTACATAGCCTCGATTTCATTCTTTGATTTCTGTTAAATTCTTTGCAATATTATGTTTGTCTGTTTTCAAAAGAAATTGAAGTCAGAGCTATGGGTTTATAATGCTATAATTGTACTGTATGGGTTTATAATACATAATTGTACTGTAAAGTTTCAACTACAATTAAAGCTAAAATTTCACCACATGTGCAATGTGTTTTGAGAAAGCTGGGAAATCATTTTAAAAATTAATTAAATATATTGATTGTGTGTAGGTGTGTGTCTGTAGCTGGAACCCAAGTGTAGATGTCCTGGCATCTGGGTAAGTGCATGCATAGCCGTTGTTATTTGTTAGATATACTTTATTCTTTATTTCAATTAAAGAGTATATACAGTTACTACTTGCCAACAGTTTGAATACAAAACTGCCCAAAAAGATCAACAAATTCAACATTTTGCAAAATTCTATTACAGACATTCCCAATAAGTTGTTACGTGTACATGTTCAACTGTGCGTTTAGTTTTAATAACTGGTTAGCATAATTTCATTTATTTATAAGCTATTTTAAACAAAATGTATCGGATATTAAAAGTATTTCAATATACAGTATGTATAGTTGCAAATCCCTGTGTTTCGGGGACTTTCTTTGCTCGTTTTGGGAATTTTCCCCATCCGAACAAGAATCTCTATAGTTCAGCAAATGTCCTTGCTTGAGGTTTTCCTTTGCTTACTGCCTTCTGATCTTGTGAACCATCCTGCACCAGTTCTCCATTGGGTTGAGTTTAGGACTTGTGAAACTCGCTAATAATTCATGAAGAAAACACAAAAGTAATCATGACGTGAACGAAGAGTTACAGTGAGTATATATCTGATACAGAATCGTGCTGTTTGACAAAAACATTAAGTTCAATTTTCTCACCAAATATCATGAATTTATTTTAAATTGTTGAAGAATACGAATGTTCTCATGAAGACGTTTCAGAAGCCATCTATTCGGCTCGAGTTTGTATATCCGATACAACACAGCCGGTCATGCTGTCAATAGTACAATCATATGGTGTAAATTTTTAATAGAACGCTCGTCTGAGTGGTACAGGAAAATGCCGTCTGCCATTGTTTAGCAGGAAACGTGTTCTCTCTTTTTTTTGGGGAGTGCATCACTATAAATCTTTTTTATATGTTTTTTTTAAGAAAATGCAAACACTTCTGCAGACATTTATATATTTGCTTCTCTTGTGTATTTCATCTTTCTTCATTTCTTGCTAAACGTTTTTTATCTTTTACTTTACGTGACCTGTTTTTTTAGTGCTGGAGATGCTACAGTGAGGTTATGGCCGTTCACAAATGCTGAGGATATTAAAGAAATCACTCCATTAGTGTTAGCTCAAGAGGAAAAAGATAACATCAATGTTGGACATGCCCCTGGTAAAGATGTTACAGCACTAGACTGGAATGTGAGTATTTTTTTAAACAATAAATTACAAAATAAACCAACAATGGTGCTTCTTACAGCAATTTTCTTTCGATTAGAAATTTCTGATTGAATTTCTTGGATTCAGTCGGCATAAAATTTGCGAGTTGGCGAAAATGGGGTGCGACCCCGTACCTATATGAACAGGTTTTGTGATTGGTTGATGATAACAATAAAATACACTAAACCATAGGAATCATCTTTCTAAAAAAGTCGATCGAAACACAGATTGGTTTTGTCTCAGGAAACCAATAACCAATCCTAGGAAAAATTATCGTGGACACCGCGTGCGTCAGACAAAACTAGATTTTAACAGGGTTCGTACTAAACTTGAAAGTCCTTGAATGTCCTTGAATTTGAAAACAAAAATTCAAGGTCTTGAATGCCCTTGAATTTGTAAAGCAGTACTTGAATTCTTCTAGTTTTTGGATATTTTCTGAAATTGTTTGACATTCAAGACGGACATTTTGTTGAACTGATTTTGCATGTTCATATCTGACCTCATTATAAAGTTACGTTTTGAACAATTCAACGTCAGATTTTGCTGATTTCTAACGCCTTCTTCAGTATGTAGTCCTTGAATTTGTTGATACATGTCCTTGAATGTCCTTGAAAAGTCCTTGAATTTAACTCTTCCTGACATGTACGAACCCTGTTTTACAGAATTAATCTCCCAAAAACATTTCTGCCCCTCCTACCCCCAATTCAATGTTCGAAAATCAACGAAACATACTTTTAAAATTTAAATGCGAAAAACAACATTAAATAGGGGGACAGAGGGGGGGGGGGGAATTTCATGAAAAAAACGTCTCAATGTTAATATTTGTGTTAAGGCCCGTTTACACTTGCAATTTTTGCTGCGATTTTAGGTGTGATTTTAGATTTTCTTCTTCTGAAGGATGTGAACGAGTGGATGAGTTATGAATGTTCAGATGAGGGTACATGAACTCAAAACATTCATAACTCATCTACTCGTTCACATGCATCAGAAGACGAAAATCGCACCATAGAAATCGCAGCAAAAATTGCAATTGTAAACGGGCATTTAGAAAAGTTAGGTGTCCACATAATTTTTGCCAGGACTGCAGTAACAAAACTTGTTCATATTAGATACATTAGATACTGTAATTACTGTCATTCAAAGCAAAGAAAGAATTGTCTTTCAACACCTCCGTCGTACATCCAAGACAATACCGTACTACTTCAGGGTGCGATCATTAGAGATTTTTAGTCGTACCTGACTGGTACTGTAATGACTATTGCCGCGTACTTGATCTGGTACAAACTTAAGACTCGAGGTGTATTTAGTCTTTGAAATGATGTACATAAAGTACAGGTTTCTGAACGGTATTCAATAACCCGAAACCGCAAGTTAGAACGACAAGGACGACAATTGCATACACAAACACTACAATTAGCTCCAACATTCCCATCAGTCCAGTCATGTTTCATACTTTCATGCCCAGACATGTCAAACGGACCGTGTATATATACCTTTATATGTATACGGTTTTGAAGAGTAATCCATTTTAGGCGGTATATTTTGTGGGGCTTTTTCGAAATACAAATAAAAAAAAATCCGTAATTACATGTAAACTAATAAAAAGTTGGCCTGACAGGCAAAATTGGCAAGTTACCAAAATCCGGAACACTCGCGCTGGAACAGAAAATCCGTACCTTAAATAAATAATTGAAAAATATATATTAAGTATACCGCCAAACTACATTTTTAGGGATAGTAAACAATGGAACAACGATAGTAGGGGCTAATTTATGAGAAAATTAAGTGCTTCGCATTCTTCTTGCAGTGATGGGTTCTCTAACGTGATTGCAATCCAGAAATCAAATAAGAAACCCACAGACACATATAGGTGCATGTTTGTTCATGTAGTCTATTGTCTACTGAAGTCAAGCTGGGTTTTTTCTTTTCAAATACCATGCATGAATCACCTGCTACCCTTGACAGTTGACGCAGGGATCGTGGTCAACCAAAATTCGAATTCATTATTAGCCCACGACTTAATCGAACATGCATATAGGTGTTGTTGCATCCAGCAAACAGTGCCAAATTTATCTTCCATTCATTTTTTCAGGCCTGCTTAAGACGTCGAATTTTATTCGTTGAATTTAATGCTGCTCAGTGGCGGACATTTTTTTTGGGGGGGGGGGCGAATTTGGAAATCCAAGTTCTTAAAACTTTTTTCCTTAAAGTTCATGCAATATTTAGCTTAATTTGTAGTTCAAAAATTATTGTTACAGCTTTGTTACGCAGTTATTCAGCAATCATTCAAGGGCTTTACTATCATTCGAAAGCTTTTACTCGGGAGAAACGGATGTTTTAAATGGTTTTATTCCACGCAGCTCAGTAAGTGCGACGTTGTCGAAGTATTTGAAGCCAGGGTTTTGTCGCATATATAATGACAGAAACTGAAATCGATAGAAATTCGACTTTTCAAATTGGCCTCAATTCCCCATTTCCCATGATTGTATAAAAGCCTATATGTATATAGCCGCGAATCTCTTTTATCTTGTCAGAATGATGGAACGTTATTAGCTACTGGTTTGTACAATGGTCATATAAAGATCTGGAATAACGAAGGTCAGTATTTGCTTTAACTGTGCTGTTTAACTAGGCTTTATATATACTCAGTATTGAATGATGCATTATAAATAATACGTAAAATGTCTGAAATACAGTAGATGTTTCCCAAGATAGCTCCACCTGCAACCTTGTATCAGACCACTTTTCGCGCGTGGTACGTATACATTGTCTGCACAGTCACAAATTGAGAGCCACAAGTAATGAGGAAAACTGCTAAATTATTTCAAACTATAGTCGGCAAAATTTCCGATTTATCGGTAAAATTTCGAAAGTAAGAAAAGGTTAGAGGCACGTGAAAAATATTAGGTGACTCAAGCATAATTAAGAACAACTTAGTTTGCCACAAACAAATCGAAATAAATTTATGATCGTGAATTGCATAGTTTGACTAATTTCCATTTATTGTTTACGCGATATTTTTCAATAAATTTAGTTCAGTAGTATACTTAGTAACATCGTTCACCTTCCCATTATAGCATAGCATTCTTTTCACGTATTTCTTTGTAATTTCCAATTTATCTTCGACAAAAAATATCTCAATTTCACTATATTTTAACACAATTCGAAAATGTACTTACCCAAAACCTGGCGAAAAAAAGGCGTTAAGGTGCATGTCTTGGGAGACGTTTGTTCCATTTTTTGTTCTCCCATTTATGAGAGGCTATACTGTTTCTTAAGGTCAAGACGTTGTTACGTTGAAAGAACATAAGGGAATAATTTTCTCCGTGAAATGGAATGACAAGGGCAGTTATCTCCTTACTGCTGCAATAGATCAGGTTTGTACACAACACTGCATGGCGTATCCAGTAATGATTGGATAAGCAGAGCCTGAAATAACTTAATAACGTTGAGTGTTCGATACAGGATGTTATACAAATATGTTACTTGTTTGTCATGTAATATTACGGTATTTAGACGATTCACTGATTTCCAAGAAACGATAGAAATAATCGGCAGAAAGAAATGTTAAAATTATTTAAATAAAACATGATCTATAAAAGCTGATTTTCAGATCAGGCTGGACGTTTTGTATTTTGTAAGTACATGCTTTCTTCCAAATCATTTGCATTGACATTATTTGACATTATTTATATTTCGTAGTTGTGTATAGTGTGGGACACAACAACATGGCAAGTTAAGCAACAATTTTCCTTACATCAAGGTTAGTTTTAATGGTTTGTAGGCAGTACAGTGTGTCTGTATCCTGATAGAGGAAATTACAGACCTATACAGTAACACGCTTGAAGATATAAGGAATATCTCGTTCGCGAATTCTGTTTCTATAAGGCTCTTTTCCAGTCATCGCAAAAACGAGCTCGCAAGCTCGCTGCGAATACTTTTATCCAATCACAATGATCGGCAGTTTATTTTAATTTGATGGCAGCACTTGCTATACCTGTCACGTTTTAGGGGGAGTTACTATTTTTAGACTTTTATAATTTTGTATTTTAAACTTAACCCTAATCCTAACCCTTACTCTAATCCTAACCCTAATCTTAATCCTAACCCTTTCCCTAATCCAAACCCTAAAAGTCTAAAAATAGTAACTCCCCCTATAAAACGTGACTCATATGGCACTTGCCGCGGGTTTGGGAGTTTGTTTTACAAAATCACTCGGGGAGAGACCCGGATGTGCTGAATATGAATATTACGGCAGTTTATATTTCTAGTAAAGTGTATGTACGCACTCTTTTGTTTCTTTCTGGCAACAAAAATCTTCAAACGTTTTATATGCGAATCCTAGCATGCATGCAATATATAATTGATGATTACATAACAGATTGCAACCCAATATGTGTTTTTTTCTATTTTTACTATATAGCCCCAACGTTAGATATTGATTGGCAAAATACAAACACATTTGCCTCATGTTCACCTGATAAGTCAATCCATGTTTGTAAAGTTGGCGTAGAGAAATCTGTAAAGACGTTTGAAGGACATTTGGTAAGTGAAGAGGATTAGTGATTAGTGATTAGTGTGGAATGCATATTTTAGCTGCAGCATAACTTCTTCGTACATGCATGAGTATATAATTTTATTAAGATTGACTGAAATAATAATTTCGTTAAAAACCAGTTCTTTACTGGTCGCCCACTGCTCTGTTTTGTTTTTTTGCATAACTGGTTATGGCGACAATAGACCCATTGCACATGACGTCACAGCGGCGGTGACGATGCATCTGGAGGAGAAATTAACAATCTATGCATAATATAACTTTTGTGAACAAAGCAAATTTTGTAAAACTTTATAATCATTTTGTATTAAAATGGTTAATTTTTTCGCTGTACGTGGTTGCTGTACCCGAAGAGATATTGTTAGGGAGCATCTGGAGGATACTCTAAGGATTTGTGACGCCAGTGCAATGGGTCTATATATACCCCCACTGTACATGCTCCCAGGCATCGAGACTCTTTCCATTAATTATAGAAGGGTTTTGTAGATGGAAATTTCGATTGTGAATGTTATATACCTAACCATGCAGGAGGAGTTGCTAAAAATGCAACTATCGGCCCTTTGGCAGGAATTGAACTTGCGGCTTTGCGATTCCAGTGCAGCGCTCTAACCAACCGAGCTACAGAGGCCAGTTGTCGAGCTCTCCAGCGATGCACCGGAATCAGAGGGCCGCAAGTTCGATTCCTGCCATGCTGAGGGCCTATAGTTGTATTCTTCGCAACTAATAAACCCATCCACTATATGAGAAACTGAAATACATTGTTGAATGAAAGTAATCCAGCATTCATATAACTGCTCATGCAGTATGCTAATTAACCGTATCTATGTCTTATCTTTAGGGAGAAATAAATGCCATAAGATGGGATCCCTCAGGTACTTTACTCGCTTCCTGTTCTGATGACGGGAGTGCGAAGGTGAGTTTCATAGAACTTGGTATTGATAATTAATATATTATTAGCTGTATACATGAACCTCACTGACATCCGCCATCTTGTTCTATAATGAGATCTAATTAAATCATTTAAGTTTAGAATATAGACAATATTACTGTAAAAAATATGATTTAGCAATAAAATGGCCTGGGAATTGCTCAAGATACACATTAATGTTACCCTGGTTGTGACGTCACGCATACCAAGATGGCGGAATGCATAATGATTTTCTTTTGAAATGAAGTGTATTATCTTTTATACCAAGAACGAAATATGAAATCTGTAATAAAGTTTTGAAATATATTGAATCCCTCTTCCAAATGGAAGAAACGTAATTTTTATTGCTTTTTCGAATTTAAAAGTAAAAATGTATTTTTATTGTATTTCTAAACAGGTGTGGAGTTTAAAGAATGACGCACCTCTGCATAATTATCAGAACGATGCAAAACACCAAGTTTACACTTTAGAATGGAGCCCGAGTGGACCTGGGAGTTCAAACAGCACCTTGCCTTCCTGTTTGGCAACGTAAGTCATACCTTTAAATAATAATTCAGTCCGTTGTATAAAGAGAAGAAACTTGTCGTGTTAACCGCCTCGTGTGGCGTCTAGCTCAGCATGTTTCTCTCGTGTGCGGGCAGTTTTCGTCATGAGGATTTAACCTCTCGAGGTCTTGAGGAAAATGTCTATTGTGTTTGATATTTTTCACCTCGCGAGGAAAAAATCTCAACGTGCGGATGTTGCGAACTTGGTGCTGAGCTGCTTGAATTAACTAGCTAATGAGAACCCATACTGTAGTTTCTTCACGTGACTTTAGTCAAAATGGCGACAGTGGAGGTACATAAATGCAGACGATCTTATCTCGATGTTGCTGTTGAGTAGTTAGCCGCCACGCGAGTTAGCTTGTTGTTACTCAATTTTGTTTCTCTGATGGATGTGAACGAGTGGATGACTTACGGATGTTCAGACGAGGGTACTCACAACATTCGTACAGAGTTGCAAAACCTGTTCAAATTTCCTCCGGGTAAAATTTAAAGTTTTCAAACCTTCCTCAAAATAAATTAAATAGATATGGCTTCATCAAATAGCAATATACTAGAGTATATAAACTTAACTGATTCTGAAAGCATAACACACAGTACATAATTCTAATATATAAATTTGCCATAATAGATTTATACTTTGGACAAATTGGACAGTCCTTACCTACTATGTCTACATCCTTTTTCATATATTGAATATAAAATAATATTAAAAAATGATCTTACTGTACTTGTGGTTTTGAAAGGCATTTGAGAGTGTTTAAGGTCTTCAGGCGTGTGACACAATCGCCCAATTTCACAATCACTGAGGCAGTGAATGCTCTCACTTGTTTCTGAGGCAAAGTGCTAAATTTAAACCAAGCCGTATAGTGCCCTGCATGGCAGTTTATGGCAATGTTTGGAGTGGCTGAAAATCAATGGCAATGGCAATATATATCTATACCAGACGCTGCCAATCCTGCAATATACTTATATAGTTTGTGGGAATTGACAGTGTAGGTATCAGGTATGTAAATAATGATTTCGATTATAGGACCTCGATATATTCCGACGATCTGTATTAAATATGTATGACAGCTACACAACTCAGTAATTAAGCTGTACTATTTTTGTCTGACTCACATCACACATGCTAAAATTTCTTCCTCAACTTTGTTTATAAGGCCATTATTTATATAATTATTACAATGTTTAGTTGCTACAGCATTGATGGTTTATTTCATTAAATAAAAAAAATAATTCCTAACATTTAATATTTCTGTGAGTTCTGAAGTAAAGTGTCATAAACCAAAATAAACATATTACAATACACATTTCTGTCATTTCCAACATATCTCCTTGAACTAAATGCGAAGTTCCTGTAAAATGCAATGAAATTTCTTTTGAATTGGCAGTTTAAAATGGCACTAAAACCCCAATATAAAATACCTTAACTGTCTTGAAATATTTTGTCGGGCAGTACATTTATATTGTATGACAAAATATAAAAAAAATTAACATGGCTCTTAAAATACAGTTGGGTGGTGATGAGAATCCAGCAAGTTATTTTATGTGGCCTAATAAGGCACCTCTGATGCTTGACACTTACACATTTTAATTTTACAGAATGTTTTCAGTTATTTGTCTTCTCAGTATTCTCCAATGTCATAGTCATCTGGTATAGGCACTAGTATATCACAATAGTTCCACCACAACTTGTCAGCCTCAACTGCCTTATTCAACCATGATTTATTTGTTTCACTCTTTTGGTGTTAGCAACCATTGGCCACTAAACCTTCCTCACTGACCTCACCTATGGTAAACCTTCCTCGCGGGCAATGCCCGCGAGCCCGCAGCTTTTTTGCAACTGTGCATTCGTAATTCATCTACTCATTCGAATCCGTCAGAAGAAAATCGCACTAGAAATCGCAGCAAAAAGTGCAAGTGTAATCGGGCCCAGGGGCGTAGGAACCGGGGGGGGGTTGCCCCCCCCCCCCACGTTTTGGCAAGTGCCCTTTTTCCGGGAGCAAAGTGCCCTTTTTTGCGTGGAAAAATTTTCATTAAAATTGCATTGGTATGTCCGGAAAATTTTTTTACCCCTAAAATGGTACACTGACCGGGGGAGGGAGGTCGCCAAAAATAATTTTTAGATGCCTTTTTTTCGAAAAATGCCCCTCGGAGCTTGCCCCCCCCCAACTTTTCGAAGCTTTCTACGCCCCTGATCGGGCCTTTAGAACCTGGATGTTTTTAGTTGAATTTTCGTCTCCTTTGTCTTTAGTGCCTCACTAGATGGTGTTGTACGTATTTGGGAAAATGAAACAGGCAACTGCACGCTTTCCCTGACTGGTCACAGAGAACCTGTATACTCAGTTTCGTACAGTCCTGATGCGAAATTCATTGCGACCGGATCTAGCGATCGGTGTGTAAATATTTGGTCTACTCAGGTATGTGCACTATATATTATGTACTCACTTGCTTGCTGTGTCTTTAAGACCTCTAACTTCTCATTCAATCATCTCTCCACCGAAAATAGTATAAAAATTTTAAGATATTTTGATCTGTCTGTGCCAGTGTAGGTAATGCCAATTATATAAACAAGCTTTCGTTGGTAGGGATGCAACTACCTGCAAAATATAAGGAGAATTTCGACGTTTCGAGCGAAAGCCTTTCGTTTGGAGTTACTCCATGAAACATCCCTACCCATGAAAGCTTGTTCGTAAAAATATATACTTGTTTCTTTCTTTGTTTTGACTCTGTTTTAATTCCATCATATGATTAGTTCATTTCTATGACATAGTATTTTTGTATTTTCACTATGCAAGAGCACGTGTTTTCTCGTTCCACGCTACTAATTAAAATTAAATCCACTATGGCCCTGGGCCTAGCATGCATAGCTCCCGGTTTCATGGGGTTGGGCAACTGATGTGCCAAACCCTTAACGTGGTTTTAAAGGACATTGGAACTAAAAATTTACTGCAGTTTGTCTCATTTTAAAGAACGTTTAAAATTGTGTATTAAATATTTTTGCAGATTTCTTAAAGTATCTAGCTTAACTATTAGAATATTTTGACTGAAAGCAATGGGCTGTCCGCCATCTTGGATTAATTCTTAAGCTTATTAAGTCTGGTTCTGATGACGACAAGAATGGGGTTAGTCTTATAAAATTACCTCTAAGTGACCGTGTAAAGATCAAAAGTTGTTTAAAATGTTTGCATTCAATTCTAAATCTGAAATAGCAACCAAGAACGAGTTTTGGGCTCATATTGATCACTGGCTGTCAAGATAAAATATTGTGATTTCCGTTGACCCCTCTTGTGACGTATATGCATATCCTCAATAATCCAAGATGGCGGACAGCTCATTGCATTCAGTGAAAATATTTCAAGAATCGAGAAAGATATGAAAATACTGTTCAAAGTCTTTATTAATTATTTTTAAAGCACTTTCAAATGAGGCAAACTAAATTTTTACTGCCCACATCCTTTAATGAATTTCAGGAATTTCAGAATAGTACCTATACACCGGACTGTACATGTAAAAAAGCTTTTTCTCGATTTCATCTTACGAAATTTTATCCTTTCCAGTTATTCCATTTTCTCTGAAAATGTTTCGGCATGCATATATATTAAAATCGTTGATTTACTTTATCGTACTAATTATTTTTATTTTTTACCAAGAACGGAAATTTACTCTATACGTACCACGGTTCTGGACCGATATTTCAATTACAGTGGAGTCCAAGAGGAGACAAACTAGCTGCTTGTGTTTCCGATACTACAGTAAGTAATTATTCCGCCCTATAGGTCCTGTTCATATGAGCGCAGCTAACCAGGAAACTTACCTGAGTGAGATTTGCATGTCATTTGTTAACGCATATAAATTTTAATTTGTGTTCATATGAGAAACGAACCAGCCTGGCTATAGATGAGGTCTCGCCTTGCACTAGGTAGTAACATATAGTCAAGTGGGATAAAATTCCATATGAAGGCTATTAAAGTCGTAATACAAGTTCAGTTTGTTTAAGGTGGCTCCCTACAGTTGTAAAGAAACAGCAGCGAAAAATACGATCTTTACGCAATGACGCAAAATATAATAAATTCATTTATATAATAGTTATAAATTCAGTTTTTGAGATATTACGCGAGATTTGTTCCACAAAAACTGTTTTATAGAATTTTTAAAAAATTGAGTATATTGCAATAAATTACTAGTACTTTTAAAATACAAAATTTCAGAAAAATTGACCGAAGGGAAAAAACGTTATTGCATTACAAACATTGGGCGGTCAAATGAAATTTTTGCTGACGTGATAAAATTCCAACTCGACTATAGACACAGTCCCATGCTTAAACAACTGTAGAGAGCCACTGTAATATTTCGAAGACCCCATGTTTACATAATATCGTCCCACTGAGAAGGCATATGAGTTGGGATAAAAGCAGTTATATGAAAACACAAATGATTCATACACTCAGGGGAGCTTCCCTGGGCTCATATGGATAGGGTCCTGGATTTTAAAACATTAATGTTTTAACGATTCTATTTGAATAGGTCAAACTCCTTGACGTGCGAATTTTGTAACAAATGCCAAAATTATTTTGTACTGAGGAAACAGATCAACCAGATGGGGGGAACGGATAAATATTTGGTAAAGATGGAAAGAAATGACGAAGAAAAACACCAAAAACAGTAGCTGTAAGATCAGCAAAGATATAAAGTAACCTCTCGTCCTCGGTGCTTTCAGTAATATGCAGGCATATTCTCGACTCGCATGCCCGGTTAAAGACAAGAAATTTCTCACAAGTTGATATTCATTAACATTTATTTAATCTTTCCAACAGTTCATAGCTCCTGTAAACTACCAGTTCGTTCAGTAGACCACCAACGAAATAGAAATGTTTTTACAGTAACTGTTTCTTTTTTATATTATTTGTAAAATATGTTGAAACTCATGTTGAATAATTGGAAGTGTACAACCAAAATAAACATTTTCACAAGATATTGACAAACGTTTGGTTACTTCCCACATGTCCCGAGGAGACGTCATGATTGCCGTGGGTGGAAGCGGAATATTAAGTATTGAATACTGGTTTTAAAAGTATAGTTTCAATATGAATAGTTATGGTAGGAATATTAATATTTGGGGTAGGATTTTCAGAGGAATATAAATACTTCAACCAGAATTTGAATGAATATTTGTCTACCCCCACACCACATTTTTGAGGAATATTGTAGGCAGGAATATTGAATAATACAGGTATAAGAATATTGGATGTTGAAGTAAGAATATTCCGCCTCCACCCCGACTATTAAGTTAGAACTAAGGTTAGATTGTTAGGAAAGGTTTAGAATACACCCTTCCGGAAAGTACGTCGCTTTGGCTGTAGATCCCTCGTTTTCGTCATTGATACGTTGGGCTTTAATTGATATCACATACGCGAAGACGAGGTTCCTATTATAGTCAAAATGACGTACTTTCCCAAAGGGTGCATGTATTGTAAGGATAAGGATTAGCTATATTTAAATTGAAGGTTTTTAATATAGAAATGAAATGATACAGACTACCTTTTTATCACAAAATGAATTTCTATTTCACAACTATAATATCCCACTCCATGCTGCGAGTTCAACTCGCTACTAATGGTTAAAACTTTTGTATTAAAGACGACAAGAAGTTTATCACACTACAAGTGCCGAAATTAAACATCAAAGTTCATAATGTTCAACATTTCAATCCTTCTTTATCGATATCAAATTTAATTACAAAATTGCCTACGTCAGGCTTGACCTGCTTCATGAGAAACGTTGAACTCTTATCCGACGTACGGGAGACTGCATATGCACATTTCACAAACCATCTCCATGGTCGGCACATGTATGCATAATCGTCCATTCGCTGTATACGTTTAAAATCCTTGGAATAGATAGCTGGCAATGTAGCTATTACGACAAGGTAGTATTGGTCTATATAACGGCGAAGTACCTCTAGAAGCCTCTTTTGATGTTTTTCTCGACCTTGGTAAGTCTCACCACCGTCACTTTTATCCTGCCAATAAAAAGCACTGATACTGTCAATCATCATTACACATATATCAGTTCTGTTGCAAAGGATTTTGTCGAAACTTCGCATTGTATCCAGAAGCTCTTCTGTCGAGTTGCATTTCGCTAAAGTTAGTCGGGACAAACATGATTTTATGAACGTCTGTCGGGCAGCAACACTCGGCATTGGTAACCCTTGCTGTAAAAAACATGACGTGATTCGTTCTTCCAAGATTTCCACGAGACGAAGCAGAGAGAAGTGGTAATCGGTGTCCACGAAAATAGCACCCACACCTCGTCCTTCGAGGGATGCACCTTTCCATTTTTGTGGTAAAATGCAGTTGGCGATCAAGTGCAATAATATTTGAGTCTTTCCTGAGCCATCATCGCCATACAATTCGATTACGTCTTTCACCTGCACTGGCCGAGACAAACCTTGGAAAAGTATTTTATCCAGCCCATCCAACGACTTCTTGCGTCCAAGACGAGCAAACAGCTATATTCAAAGTAAGAGTTCACAACGATAATGAAAGAAATAAAAAGATTTAAACTTCAACTGACGTTTCAAAACTTGATACTTTTTCTTATTTGGCCATCTACGGGATTTCTAAATATTAATTAAAACCTCACCTGAGCTTTCGAATGCAAATTGCTATACAAATTGATGTTTATGATAGTGAACCTTTATTTGGATAGGGATAAAACCATTGTCATGCATTAACGGAGCCACAGGGTTCGTAGTGTCAAAGACCAAAAAATTTTCTACTTATTTTCGAAGACTCCTCCGGCTGAAGAGCAATCGCTGTTGAATCAAAATGATATTTCATAGAGTATATGCATTAACGAACAAGACTAGATATGTTGGCAACTCTGATTTTGGCTTTAGCCTTCACACATGAAAATTTGAGAATTTTGCCTAGATAAAGTACTATGTCTATGATGACAAAAATGCAAAATTTCAAATATAGACTTTCACTTTTAACAAAAATAAACTATACCATTGCAAAGTTCGCAAAAAAGTTATAAGACAATTAAGTGTGACCAGGTTCCTGGCGGTGAGGACAAGGTTCAAAGAAAATACTCCAAACCAAAATTTTGATGCTAACTTTAGGCTCTTTAAACTCAAAACCAGCTTGAAAATTCGCACTACTTGCTTAAATGTCTTATGTGTATATACTTCTCTGCGATCTTTCGTTTTGTGAAAAACTTGAAAAGTGAACTTGAAATTTTTTAGGCAAAAGTTTAGAATTCTCCAATTTTTAGCTATAAAACCAAATATAGTCTTGGTCACCAATGTGTAATGTACGAGTCAAATCCAACCGCGATCAGCCCCCCCCCCCCCGGCAACCCCAGGGCATTTGACTTAAGTACTTAACATTACCTCCGTATAGGCGGGAATTTGACGGCCCGGTCGGGCATTTGACGGCCCCGGCCCCGTCGAGCATTTGACCACTTGACAACTTGCTCAGATGTTTTCCCTAAAAATATGTGTACACTCTAGCGTTCAGGAGTTTTCTATTTTACGTCTTTTCGATAGTTTAAAAATTGCTTCTGAATCACAAATATCAATCATAGATATATGATACAATATGCCCGATTGAACAAAAAGAAGAACTGCCTGGCCTATTTTTCGTTCTTTTTAATCCTGAAATACTTATTCAATTTAATTTTGGCCAAAATTTCAGAACCAGGACTACCCCTATACTCTATAGCAGGGCATTGACTCGTACATAAGGGCATTGACTCGTTCGATTTGACTCGTACATAAGCTATAAGTGCTATAAGGAAATGCCAGTTGGCAGCTTGTACTAACAATATTGTTTTTTAAGATAATATATAATTGCCTTTTTGGGTTTCCCTGCATCATTACAATAGCAGTGTGCCATGATTTTAAAGTTTCTCTAATCCTATTTGAAAACAATATCTTTCCAGAGAACATCATGATTTATTTTATTCGTTTAATATGAATATTTGTTTTATAAATTATCATTCCTGCATGGCCGCGTATTTTCCATATTCTTATATACATTTATGGACTATACAGATTTCAATCAATATTCGATCAAAATAAAAAAAATGACGAAAGCTTTATAATCACACAAAACAAGAATACAAATACATCAGACAAGATACGAGTATTTTAAGATATCACTTACATTGGCTGCTGTTTCGGCCGCCATCTTGAATTTAGTAAGTACTTCATATTGCAACGGATATTGTTATTTGTTGCCAGCACAGTTGTTACGTATTAGGGGTCATTCACAAAGGATGTCCGAGCCACAGATGAAGTATATACCAGATGTGTAACTTAATAGGAATTCGTGTACCTCAAATTTCCCTAGATGTACACGTCATGCTCACGCCATGACCAGGCAAGGCTGCCACTCGTAGGGGGATTCCCCTACGGTAGGGGATTATCACCTCTTGTAGGGAGTAGGGGATACCTACGGGGAAAATGGTAATTTGTAGGGGAACGTAGGGGGTTTCTTTTACGGTTTACCTACAAAAGTCGTATTTCTCTTTTTGTGATTATCCAAATCAGTTCTTCCGTAAATTTCAATATTTTATGGCTTCGATGTAGTATGGAACATTGTATGGAACTGCAGGATTTTTTTATGGAAACTAGAAATTTAAATTTGAATGTGGAAGCACTGAAATATCATGTGATGAGTATGGTGATGAGTGATATTGTATTTTCCCAGGAGAACCTTCACGCGAAAAAAAGTGCAGCCAAAAACATGGCGGATTTTGGCCTTTGCTGACGGCATTTCCATGACAACTGGTCCGTAATTCTCACCACTGACCAGGCTCGGATTTGAGCCCGCTACAATTTCCACACCCCCTGGTTATTTGAAAAAACTTTAGGTTTTTGCAATTTTGCTCGGGTTTGAGAGTAACAGGGAGTTTGAGCTTCACGTTTGCGGGAGCGCCAAACGGCAAGGCCGACTTTTCTTGGCATAAAGTCGTTCGATTTCTGCGTGTCATATTTTCCTTCATATGAAACAACAAGCCCATTTACTTTTTATCGCTTTTTATCGTAGAATTTTTCTTTGCCTGACGTTCGTCGTTGAACGTGAAGCTTAACTCTCTATTGTGTAGTAAGTATAAGAGCAGGTCCTCCAGTTATTATACAGCCCAGTGTATTTTCCCTACAAATATACAATATTAGTGGGGAAAATACAATATTTGTAGGGGAACGTAGGGGAACATTGGGGACAATTGCATATCGTGCTGTAGGGGAAACGTAGGGGATTTCAGTGCCCGCCATAGGTGAAAATAGGGAACGGAGAGTGGCAGCCCTGGCTAGTCTATATTTTCGTTCAGACAATTACATGCGTATTAATTTGATAATATACTATCTCGCTTGACTTTCAAAGGCCATAAATCGCAATAATGTTGACATTTTACTAAAACTATCGATGGAAATTAGGAGATATTTCTTCACTGAATCGAACTGTGGGATTTCCATATAGGCCTATCAGTCATGTTCTGAACCAGTGGCGGCGCCAGGGGGGGGCAAGGGGGGGCAAATGCCCCCCCAAATTTATTTTTTGCCCCCCCATTTTGCCCCCCCTCAAAAAAATTATTAGTCACTAAGAGCGACTAAAGGCTACACAAGCGTTTTGTAGTTATCGGAAAATGTATGGCTTATAAGTTGTCATTACTCATTAGTGAATGCGCGTATACATGAAACTGTTTTTTACAGTTTCAATATTAGTTTGTAAATCTCTGAATGGTAAAACTTGCCAATACTCCAATAATACGTTCCAAAAAAAGACAAAAAAGCTTTAGTTTTGCAGAGTTAAATTCTCAAACGTGTAAGGCATTAATAAGATGAAAGTATCACGAAATTATTTGAATAAACCACATCGCATATATGGGGGGCGAATGTCCTAAAGAGGGGCGATATTCCTAGGGTATTCGCCCCACCCCTCTGGGAGGCGATATCGCCACGTTTTGAGGGGGGCGAATCTCCTGGGGGGGGGGCGACCTTTTCAAAAATTCTATCTTGCCCCCCCAAAATTTGAGTTTGCCCCTCAAATGCCCCCCCAAATTTGGAGGCCTGGCGCCGCCACTGTTCTGAACCAAAGATACTTGATAGATATTAATATATACGAACCTCCAAAGTATAAACAAGGGGCCGGTTGATGCAGTAATTATCAAATAACAGTTAAACTCTTATATACCTGTTGAATATGTATAGTTGTAAACAAATAAAAACTATCGTTCTATAAGGTTCAATACTTTCAGTTTGGTTGTTGACTGATGATGAATCTATAGTATAGTCTATAGACTTGCATGCTTTGTATTTTGTGCTTATTAAACCACCGTTTTAAGGCAGCTAAACGGGCTTGGTTTATATTAACACATAAAATAAATTCCTTGATTCTCATCACTAGACACAGTCTACACTTTGAAATGTCGAAGACAGTGGGAGATTTATTTTTTATATTTTATATTTATATAATTTATATATCAATAGTTCGTATCTCCACGAACAATGACAGAATGACTGAGTTTCTTTAAAATACAATGAAATTTCACTCAAAATTCTGTTTGTTTCAAATTGGAAGTTTAAAATGGCAATAAAAACTCTATATAAAATATGAAAAAATTAACTGTCTTGAATTATTTTGTCGGGCGGTACATTTATATTGTATAACTAAAAATAAAACGTTTTCACGAGGATTTTAAAATTCAGTCGAGCGGTGATGAGAATCAAGGAATTTATTTCATGTTGGGCAGTTGGGACTTGGGAGCAGCTTGGGAGTGGCTAATTTTGAATATTTACTTAATTAATGCATCTATAAATAGCGTTGATGCTTCAGGGGCGGTAGTTCATTTACACCCAGTTTTGCGGCAGGCGGTATTTCCTACGTACCGCCTGCCATGCAGGCTAAGCGTGAACTAGATATCAGATTATACTTGTAAATTTATTTTTGTTTTATTATATATTTTATTAATTTGGTGATTGTGTTGTGAAGACCCGTTTCCAACATAAGTGGCGTCCCCGGGTGGGCAGAAATCAGCTCACAAATCATGGAATCAATCGAAAATTTGAGCAAGAATATCGAGACGAAACTCAGGCTCATTAAGTTCACGCAAGAACAAGCAGAGAAATCAGTCGAAACAAACAATGTTTTAGCCATGGAGAGACAGATTAAGACCTTAACAATGAAGGTAGGCGAAGTTCATGATATTAAAGTTAAAATTCAAGAGTTAAAAATCGAAAACGGCGAAAATATCGAAGATATACAGACATGGAATGCAGCGTTGGAAGATAAATTATTCGCCATCGAAGCACAAATTGCTGACCTCGACAATTCCTTAAAACGGATCGGTCAAAAGGCGATCGAAGCTGAGAAACTTAAAGAGGAAGAAATGGCAGCGCAATCTCGACAAAGGAAGTTCGAAGATGAACTAAAACTTGAAAAAGCTAAGCTAGAACAGCGAATGAGATATGAAAAGAAGCTAGAAGAGAGTCGAAGTGTCTCAACCCCAAATCGACCAAATACAACCAAGTTACCTAAGCTGGTGATTTCCAAATTCAACGGTAACTACACAGACTGGACAAGATTTTGGGAACAATACGAAGCAGGAATTGGTGCAACTGACATTTCAAATGTTACAAAATTTTCATACTTGAAGGAACTATTAGAACCTAAGGTACGAGCATTAGTTGATGGATTACCGCTGACCACAGAGGGTTTCGAGAGGGCAAAGAATATTCTGAAAACTAAGTACGGTAAAGAAAGCGAAATTGTTAATGCATATATCAGCAACATTATGGCACTTGAACCAGTTCATGGAACAAATCCAAACAAGATTTCTATTTTCTATGAAAAATTACTAGCAAATGTACAAGCATTGGAGACTTTGGGTCGAATCGGAGAAGTGAATGGGTATGTGCGCATGACTTTGGATAAGCTGGAAAGTATACGTGGAGATTTGGTGCGTACAGATGATGACTGGCAAAGCTGGAAATTCCCCAATCTTATCGAAGCATTGCGACAGTGGACAGAACGGAACCCACCAAGACATGAAGACAAAACTAAGAGAAAACCAAAAGATCCTAGGGCTCGAAGCTTTCATGCAAGGGACAGAGAGGTGCAACCAAGACCGTGTGTTTATTGCAATAGTACGCAACACAAGTCAGTGAAATGCGATAAAGTTACAACTCCATCTGAGCGTAAGAAACTTTTATCCTCAAAGAAACTATGCTTCAACTGTACAGGTACCAGCCACAAAGCTTCAGCATGTCGCTGCCCATCCTTGTGTCAAATATGTCGTAAGAAACATCACACTTCTATCTGTGAAGAAAAGCCAGAACAAATGCTAGTAGCTAATGGTGACAGTTCGGTTATATATCCTGTTGTTGTAGTCAAAGTTAATGGTATCCGTTGTCGTGCACTGCTGGACACCGGAGCAGGCAGTTCATATGCATCAGCCGCCTTGCTAGATCGAATCAAAACCCGTCCAGTACGAAAAGAAGTCCGTCGAATCGAGATGATGATGCAAACCACAAGACAAGAAATCGAAGTTCACCAAGTGGAGGTGATGAGTTTATCGGACCAGTTTAATCTGAGAACTGAAGTAACTAAAGTGAATCGTGGCGTGTTGCTCACCCTTGACAACCCCAACTATCCTGACCTGATAAAACAGTATGATCATCTGAATGGAGGGACCATGAATGACACAGACACCAAGCAAGAATTACCAGTACACTTAATCTTGGGAACTAGCGAATATACCAAGATTAAAACCAAGACAACCCCCAAAATCGGCGAACCTGGAGAACCTGTAGCAGAGCTGACGCAACTGGGCTGGACCGTCATGTCTCCTGGGAAGGAAGCCGACCTAACCAAGATGCTCCTAACCCAGACAACTCCTTCAGACTATGAGAACTTGTGCAGACTTGACATACTCGGGCTGAAAGATCATCCAACTGGTGACCAAAGCAATGTTTATCAAGAATTTAAAGAGCAATTAGTGAGAACCCCAGACGGTTGGTACGAGACAGGGCTCCTCTGGAAGGGGAACCATCCACCACTAGCTAACAACAAAGAAGGGAGTATTAAGCGACTGGAAAGCCTCGTAAGGAAATTAGATAAACAACCGGACATGCTAGAAAAATATGATTCAATAATCAAAGATCAACTGTCAAAAGGAATTGTTGAGCGAGTA